AATTTAATTTTAATTACTTGAAAAAAGGGATTTGTATAAGGCCGACGCCCTAAACAATCAAAGTAAGGCGTACCTCCAAATAGTGTCGAGAGATGTTGCTTCAATACTTGAAATCTTTGCTATGCCCTAAAAATTTATATTTTATTTTTTTCTCAAATTTAATTTTAATTACGCAAAAAAAATGATTTGTATACGACCGAGGCCCTAAATTTTTTTCAAATTTAATTTTAATTACTCAAAAAAGTATGATTTGTATAAGACGAGGCCCTAATCAATCAAAGGCACACCTTCATTTCCCAAATTTAATTTTAATTACTCAAAAAAAAAATGATTTGTATACCACCGAGTGCCTTTAATTTTTTTTCAAATTTAATTTCAATTACTCAAAAAAAGTATGATTTATATAAGACCGAGGCCCTAAACAATCAAAGTAAAGCACACCCTCAAATAGTATGGAGAGATGTTGTTTCAATACTTGAAATCTTTGTTATGGCTTAAAATTTATTTTAATTTTTTTCAAATTTAATTTTAATTACTTGAAAAAAATGATTTGTATAGGCCGAGGCCCTAAATTTTTTCTCAAATTTAATTTTAATTACTTAAAAAGTATGCTTTGTATAAGACGAGGCCCTAAACAATCAAAGGCACACCTTCATTTCCCAAATTTAATTTTAATTACTCAAAAAGAAATATGATTTGCATACCACCGAGGCCCTTAATTTTTTTCAAATTTAATTTTAATTACTCAAAAAAAATTTGTATAAGACCGAGGCCCTAAACAATCAAAGTAAAGCATACCTTCAAATAGTATGGAGATATGTTGTTTCAATACTTGAAATCTTTGTTATGGCCTAAAAATTTATTTTAATTTTTTTCAAAGTTAATTATAATCACTTGAAAAAAATGATTTGTATAAGGCCGAGGCCCTAAACAATCAAAGTAAAGCGTACCTTCAAATAGTGTCTAGAGATGTCGTTTCAATACTTGAAATCTTTGTTATGCTCTAAAACTTTATTTTCATATTTAATTATAAAATTTAAAGCTTCAAATTTTGTGTAGATCAAGCCCATCTAAGAACACCTGAAAATCATGAAAATTGAAGGTTCGAAAATGCATTACAAGATGCAATAGTTCCAAAATTTGGAATTTATTTTTTCTTATACTCATGCATGTTGAGTTCAAGATGATCAATTTAAGGATTTTTGAGCATTGAAACAACTACTTCTAGATAAATTTCTTATATGCGTTTTAATTTGATTGTTTAGAGCTCACCTTTATAAAAAAAAATTTCCAAAAAAATCATACCTGGAGAAATATATATTATTTCAAAAGTACCTTTAGTGTTTTTAAAAAGGGTGTAATTTGCATACGGATGCGTAGGTCTAAAGGTAAGGTGCACCTTCAAATTTTATCATGGTATATAATTTTGATGAAAAATGTTCTTAGGATTATCTCAAAATCTATTTTTATATTTAGTTGTAAAATTTTAAATTTCAAAAATAGTTAAAATCAAGTAGATCTATAAACATATGAAAATCTTGAAAATGGACAGTATAAATAATATGTTGTAAAATATACTATTTTTGAGATTTAAAATCTTTTTATTCTTCATAGCCATACATCTCAATATCGAGATGATCAATTAAAAGGTTTTTTAACATTAAAACTACTTTTTTCAATAGATTTTTGAGAGGCGTACCATCTTTATATAAACTTTTTCCTTTTAAAAATTCCATTGCAAATCGAGTATCCCTCCACCACTGCAAAAAATAAATACAGTATTTCAACGTGTCCATTTATAACATTTCAACGTGTCCATCGCAAATTCACTACCCCTCCATGATTGCTAAAAAAAATAAATATAGTATTTTAATTATAAATATAGGATTTCAATTACTCATTCTCCCTCACCTGTACCGGTAAATCCGAAGGGCAGCTTGATAATGGTGCTTAATAGATGGGGACATGTAGAAATTCAAAAGTTATTTATGATCACGTGTTGGAATTGTTGGTGTGAAATAGGGGCAAATACGACTTCAAAAATTGGAATCTCAAACTCTTCTTTGTTTCAAGCACGAACAGTATTTGCAAAACCAATCCGTTAGAATCGAAATTGGCCGGTCAGATCGCTATCAGTGGTGTGGCGACTCCGGTTATCACCTATTTTCATGGTCTACTAAGTATTCAGTGCTCTCCAAATAAATTGGGTACAAAAACCGGCCGGTTAGGCCTTGAACCGGAGGTTTTTCCACAAACCAGACCGGTTAGCCTAAATAACACCCGTTATAACGTACAAAACAATCGTTATTTCGAAATCGAAACCGTTATTTTGTAGCAAGCATTCTTGAATCCAAATTATCACTTTTTTGATCCGTTTTCATGTCCTTTTTTTTTTTATCCTTTTTTGTGATTTATTGTTGTAAATCACTATTTATAATCTATATCACAAAAAATTTGGATTGAAACATCGAAAAAATAAGAGTTTCTTAAATCGAAATGGTGAATTTTTTAGGTTTATGAAAATTTCCACCATTCTTTCAATAATTTCTTCGATACATATTGGTTTTTGAAGAAATTTGGTGGTTTCGATAGATAATTAAATTATTCATCAGATTTATGTTTCAATTTGTTCAAAAAACCGAATACTGGATGATTTTGGCCCGAAATGCTGCTACTGCTCAAAAAACCTGTATTCGATCAAAAAACACAAATTTTTTTATCTATTTATTGGTCTTTTTTTATAAAATTGAGTTGTGTATTTTTATGATCAATGCTTGATCTCTCAAATAAAATCGGTATGTCTATTTATGATTGATTAAATGTTTTTATATGGATTTTTTTGTTGCACCATATCATGAAAATTTCTTAGATCTGAAATTTCTGCTTTTTTTTAAATTAAATTAAAAATACAGAATATTTTTTGATGAAATTTGATGCGTTTGAAAGATGATTGAAGCCTTTACATTCCAGGTGTGCTTATTTGTTCGATTTTACAAACATTGAGGGTAGTGTCTTGCTCGAAATGTTGCTTGATTTTTAGGGTTTTTGGAAATTCACTTTTTTTTAAAAAAAATATTTTGTTTGATAAAATTATATTTTTTTATGAATATGGGATGTGTTTTTTATTTTTCTAAATAAAATTATTTTTAATAGAATTATGATTTTTTAATAAAATTATGTTTTTTGATGAATGTGGGAAGTGTTTTTCTATTTTGCTTAATCAAATTGTTATTTTTGATAAAACTATTTTTTGATGAAATTGATTCTTCTTTTTGATAAGTGAATGATAATGTCACTCAATTTTTTTTAGTTCTGTTGTTTTAAGTGCATGATATAGTTATATTTGTAATGATTTGTTTTTTTTAAGAGCATGTAAAAATTTTGATTGCCTTATGTTTAATGAAACACTACACCATCGTCTTCTATGTCTTCTATGTGCTTGGTTCTTCTCTTTTCCATTTTTATTTTTATTTTTTTCCATTTTCTATCAAGGTTTTGGAATGTTATAGAAATGGTCTTTAAAAGATCGGCTGATTTTTTAAAAATCGGCCGACTAACTCGAGATCGGTCACTGGCCGATCTCGATTTAGTCCGATTCCACACAGAGAGAGAGAGAGAGAGAGAGAGTAGTTTACAATGTGATCTTAATTTACAAATCATCCCTCACATTTTGAAAATTTGAGTTTTTTCAAAAAAAATCATTTTTTTTAGTAAAATTATGTTTTGTTATCAATATGAGATTTTTTTTTTTCTATATTGCTTAATAAAATTAGCTTTTAAATAAAACTATGTTTTTTAATAAAAAAATATTTTTTTATGAATATGAGAATTGTTTTTCTATTTTGCTAAACAAAATTATTAATTTTGATAAAATTATGGTTTTTAATAAAATTATGTTTTATGATGAATATGGGAAGTAGTTTTCCATTTTTCTTGATAAAATTAGTTTTTGATAAAATTATGGTTTTTAATAAAATTATGTTTTATGATAAACTAAGAGAAGTGTTTTTCTATTTTGCTTAATAAAATTATTTTTTGATCAAATTATTTGTTCTACTGTTCTTATTTTTTGATAAAATCAATGCACAACTCACTGATATGGATATGGCAAATACATATAAGAACATATAAGAACAGCTGTGCATTGATTTTTCATTTTGTTGCAGGTCATGAGATGTACTTTTTGTGAAATATGTCTTATTTAACTTCATCAAAAAAGTATTGTACGAATTATGCTTTATCTAACTATATGGATGAGGTCCTCTCTATTTCTTGTCTTAATTAGTTGGTGTTTTTATTTGATTTAATAACATCAAGCTACTTTTATTTTTTGCAAAAAAATACATAAATTTTCATTCTAATGTGAACTGTTCATAAGAAACTAGAAAGTTTTACAATATAAGGTTTGGAATGAATATGTTAATTCTTGAAAGAAGATGTTACATGATAAAAATATCATCAAACGATATCTTAAGATATTTTCATGTACAGGACCATAGTATTCAAATGTTAATTTATAAAAAGCTGTTTCATTTTTTTTATATAAGATAAATATATGTAATAAGATATTATACACTGAGTATTTCTATTTTTTATTGTATTTTTTAAATGCACGTTACAGCGTAAGGTATAAGGTTGAAACTTTATATAAACTTCTTTTTTTTCTTTAAAGAATGGGAATACGAGAAAATCAAAAGTCGTTGTGTTTTTCCTTTAGGATACTTGAAACTCGCCTCGACGACTCCAACCCTATTAAAATAAGTAAAACTTCACATCAAAACTGATGGCATGGAAAAACCCTCAAATCGACGGTCATAGCCTTTTGACTTTTATGATTGTGAAAAAAATTAGAATTTCCAGACCGATAAATAGAATATTTTGTAACATAGTATATAAAACATAAATTTTGCTAAAATAAGTGTTCCCATATCTAAAAAAAACTGTACTATTCTTAAAGGTTCAAATTTCATAATTAGTATTCACCACTAATACGAAACATAGAAACTATATGCTCATTAATTAACGAAAGAAGACAGCTAATAATCGTACTGTCGAAGAAAGTTAATACTAATACAAAGCACAAAACAAAGATGGCATAAATTATAGTGTTATAAACTAAGAAAAGCTCATATACTATATTGATTTACGGCCGCAAGGCGACGTTCCCTGAATACCGGTTACTTCCGCGGGCACGTTTTCCCCCTGTCACGACCTCCGCCAGTTTAGCCGAACGTAAAAGATTTCCGCCATTTCGGGTACTAATTCAGGCCTCTAAATTTACCAGAAAAAAAATCAGAATACTTACCTCAAAACCGCTCTTCACCCCCATAAAGCGGTTTTTACTCACCATTCATTGATGACCACAAATTTGCAGAACAAAACCACAGACAGGAATTTAGTAGAGAAAGTATCCCCCCAAAACGACACCGCCCTTTTCCCTTCCCAAAAAGTGGTTTTCCGGCCACCCGAAACCACCATCAGCAGAACGGCTTCCCTTCCATTGCATTTGAAGGCGGAATCCTGAAATGCCAAAGCCTCCCTGTCCCCTCCACCAAATATTTTCTGCACAAAAACTCCTCAGAATACCTCTTCTCGACCTTCCGGTTCACGTCGTGCACGAACACGTCGGTGGTGCCGGCCCCTCTGCGCCGCCTCGCCATGACTGCCACAGAGTAGATGGCCCCCATCCTGCCGGGGGCACTGTCAAAGTAGCCCCGCGGCGCATCCACCATGATTACGTCCCACTCGGTCTCATACACCTCTCTGGGGAACCTCTTGATCGCCAAAGGGCACTTTGATTCTAACAGGGTTTCCCCCATTTCGCAATCGGGATATGATCGATGGGAATTGATCAAGTTCTCGGCCTGCGATAGCTTGGTTTCATATTGGACGGCGTGGGCATTGAGATAGGGCGCAGAACTGAGGACAGAGTGGAGCCATTTGGGGTCCTCTTCGAGGAATAGAGTGCGGCCGCCTGGGTTGAGGGCGGCCCACATGAGGGAGTCATGGCCTAGTCCGAACACCAGAAAGTTGCAGGGTGCGCGGTGGAGGAGGACCGAGTAAGTAAGGTTGATCTCGGAGAATGATTGTTGGGGAGTTATGGAAGTGGTGGCGTAGTGGAGGATTGCTGATAGTTGGATTGGATGTGAGTTTGAAGAATAGGAGAGGAGTGGGGAGCAGAGGGGGGAGACGCCGGTGTACGACATGGAGAGAAGCGCCGCAATGAAGATGGTGGCGAGGCCGAGGGCGACCAGAAGACAAGGATTCTGTGGCATTCCCATTGATCTCTTTTTCTCTCTCACACCCTCTACTGTCATTGGCACGCTGAATCAATCAAAATGAGCCTGTGCTCTCCCCCTATCTGTAGAGTCCAAATGGGGCTGAATTAAAATGGACCTGTGCTCTCCCTCTTTCTGTACAATCTAAATGGGGCTGAGTCAAAATGGGCCTGTGCTCTCCCTCTCTCTGTAAAATCTAAATAGGGCTAAATCAAAATGGACCCTGTGCTCTCCCTCTCTCTGTAAAATGGGGCTTTCTCTGTCTAAAATGGGTCTCTTTCTTTTTCCTCTGTGTGTGTAAAATAGGCCTATTCCATTTAAGAGGGTCTGTTATTATGCTCCATTCTCTCTTCAAAGCAGCTCTGCACGCACTGCTGCTTCTGGCTCTGTATTTGCATCACCCTCGGTCTTCGTTTCTCACTCTAAAATTTCTCTCTCTCCGCAAAATCGTTGTTTGATTCTCTCTTAAAAGCACAAGCAGGCAAAAGTAGAAACGCTATTTTTAGAGGTTCTCTCTTCCTCTCTTCTCGCTCCACATGACTTCCCTGTCACTCACTCTCTTTCCGATGACATAAACCAGAAACAAAAGAAAAAGAAAAGAAAAGTTTGACCTCAAACTAAAAAATTCTAGTAAACCTCCAAAATGATACTGTCAGGCCCTATACGCTTATAAAAAATTCGGATTTGAAGTTTTGTATTGTAACCCATTATCTATAATTTTTATTTGTTTCCTATAAATGGGTTTTTAGAGATATGCAATATTCCTTTTCTATTTCTTGATCTTCAAATTTTTATGGAAAGAGTTTGTTTGAGGTTGCAACCTTAAAATGTATTTTTAAGGGAAGAGTTTGTATGCGGTTGCAACTTTAAAATGTAGAATTAAAGATGCACATAAAAAATCCTTCGAAAAATGTTATTTTAATATTGAAAAACCCTTTAATTGATCATCTCGATATCGAAATGTATAAATATGAAAAAGAAAAAAAAAATTGTCTCATAAATAATACATTTTGGAACACATTATCTAGACCGTACATTTTCAAGATTTTCATATGTTTATAGATCTACTTGAGTTGAGTTTAAAATTTTATAATTAGAGATAAAAATAGATTTTCAGATAATCTTAATAATTTTTTACACAAAAATTACATGTTATAATAAAATTTGGAGGTACCACTTAATTGGATTCTTTAACATTGCAACTTTATACAAACTACACCCAAGTTTTTATATTCGGTATTGAAAATTGATTTTAGAGCCATCATGAAGATTCTTTATGCGAGGTGAAGATTTACTTTGTTTTCATACAACCTAGGCCTTATAGAAATTGCTTCCTTGATCAAAATACCCATTGAGGTGGAACTATTTAACAATTTACCCATTTGTACCTATTATAACTTGAATCTTTTTTATGGTTATTTTAAAAATAAATCAAAAGATGGGCGTAGAGTTAAATTCTGAATCTTTTATGGGTAATTTGATAAATTTCTAGAGAGAGTTTTGTAGATGATGGTTAAAGGGCCATCCACTTGCAAGGATGCAACAGCTCTTGGCATACTGTTTCCGTGGTCGTGCATGCCCTAGTCTACGCTAGCTTTTATTTCCGCGATGATCAACATCACTTGAGAGAGACCACCTTACATATGTCTATCACCGTCCTTTTAAATGTAAAAGGATGATAAACTACGAGTGCATCAGATTATATCTTGGGAAAATTATACCCACACTGTAATAACGATCGTTTATTTTCTTGTATTTTATGCGGAAGCCCAACTCATGTTTTTTATTTTTTTTAATTTTGCCCTTATGTTTGCAATATTAAACTGCTTTTCTAGTATTTTATGTGGAAGCCCAACTCATGTTTTTTATTTTTTTTAATTTTGCCCTTATATTTGCAACATTAAACTGCTTTTCTATTTAAATGTTTTTCTATTTTCTTGGTCTATAGTGCTGAGTGATGGGTTGGAGGTGTATTGGGGGTTGGCCTGATGCGCCGGACATTGGACTGCCCTAAACTTCCCTTTGGCATTGCTAAATTTCTCTAATATCGAACTATTAGAGAGATAAAAATTTTCTATGTTTTGAGTGATCTGATACTCGTGACACCCAATTGAAAGAGGTCATATTTATGTAACATTAGACTGACTGTTTAATGAGCAGTCTGATGTCTGAAACATTAAACCACTTAACCTACTTAAAACTTTTTTAAAATATAAGGTCTAATGTTTCAAACATCAAACCGTTCATTATTGGAACTGTCCAAATTTTTGAAACATCGGGTTGACCTTTGATATACCTTTAAGCCAACTCATAGCCCTACAAATCAACAAATATAGAAAATAAATAAAAACTAGTCTGAAATTGCAAAAACACAAAATTGGAGAGGTAAAAAACATGAGAGTAAATAAGGGGGCTTCTATTTATTTATGCTGTATTATACTTGAACACTATTTGCTTTTGGCATGTGAAGACGTGTGGAATGCATTCCCTTTACCCGTTCATAAAAATGGTACAAGTCAGATAGTTATAGTACATATATTTAAGCGACAACTAAGTGTAAGACCAATGTAATTAAATAAAGGGCGCCCTATTGATTGACAGACTGCATATTGATTGACAGACTGCAGGGGAGTTGACGTTTAAGGTCAATAAATTTAGGGCAACCTTAAATGAAACTTTTAATAGATAAACATAAAAAGTTGCGTCTCTCATCTAATTTTAAGAGGTAGGAAGTCAAGTACGAGAGATCCCTCTTTTACAAAATTAGAAGCCATAGAGCATAGCATAGGTAAAAAGAAAAAAATTATATAAGGTTGCAACTTTAAAATGTAGAATTAAAGATGCACCTAAAAATCCATCAAAAAATATTGTTTTAATGTTGAAAACCCCTCTAATTAATCATCTCGACATAAGATGTATGAATATTAAAAAAAAAAAACAAGAAAGATTTTGTGTCCCAAAAATAGTGCATCTTGCAATATATTATCTAAACAGTCGATTTTTTAAATATTATCTAAAAATCTATTTTTATATCTAATTATAAAATTTTAACTCTAAAAATGGTTAAATTCAAGTAAATCTATAAGCATATGAAAATCTTGAAAATGGACGTTCTAGATAATGTGCTGCAAGGTACATTATTTATGGGACTCAATATATATATATATATATATATATATATATATATACGTATATACTACTTAATTACTACTACTAGTTAGTTCGTAATAATGTAATACTATTAGTAGTTTACTTTTA